GACAAGGTGAGCGCTACCATCAGTCCTGTGTCATGCCAACAGTAAAGCATCCTGAGACCATTCATGTGTGGGGTTGCTTCTCAGCCAAGGGAGTGGGCTCACTCACAATTTTGCATAAGAACACAGCCATGAATAAAGAATGGTACCAACACATCCTCCGAGAGCAACTTCTCCCAACCATCCAAGAACAGTTTGGTGACGAACAATGCCTTTTCCAGCATGATGGAGCGCCTTGCCATCAGGCAAAGGTGATAACTAAGTGGCTCGGGGAACAAAACATCAACATTTTGGGTCCATGGCCAGGAAACTCCCCAGACTTTAATCCCATTGAGAACTTGTGATCAATCCTCAAGAGGCGGGTGGACAAATAAAACCCCACAAACTCCAAGTATTGATTATGCAAGAATGGGCTGCCATCAGTCAGGATGTGGCCCAGAAGTTAATTGACAGCATGCCAGGGCGGATTGCAGAGGTCTTGAAAAAGAAGGGTCAACACTGCAAATATTGACTCTTTGCATAAACTTCATGTAATTGTCAATAAAAGCCTTTGACACTTATGGAATGCTTGTAATTATACTTCAGTATACCATAGTAAGCAGCAAACTTTGTGAAGACCAATACTTGTGTCATTCTCAAAACTTTTGACCACGACTGTATACGGAAACCGTTTACCATTTCCTAACGGAAGCCAACATAGCCAAACGAGAGTTTCTATTGGACAAATTCAGGTAGGTCCCTCTCCGTTTCGTTTGCTTCCGTTTAAGAAACGTTTTGCAACACAATCGGCGGAATGAATACACCCCAGATGTTGTCATTAGTGTGCAAATAGAACATGCGTCAATTACTGTGTTTATGCAATATATAGGACTGCGACACTTAATATTTAAAATGCCTACTTTCCCAATAATGCCCAAGTGTGGCTTTGATACAGTAGATCATTACATCAGCTGCCACCTCCATTGAAGTAATGTGACATCAGTATCACAGAGGCCTTGATACATTTCCACTGTCTGTCATTCTATAGTTTGTATGTTGGCGTAAAGATGGATGGCCTCAGTCTCTCAGTAAGCCACGTGTTCTGTGAGAGTCAGTGTCTTAAGTTTATAGAACAAACTGTGCCGGCTGAACTCTCTAAGGTCAACCTGTCTGTCCACTCTATGCTTTAAGGTCAACCTGTCTGTCCACTCAATGCTTTTGGCTCACAGTTGCACAACACTGTTCCTAGCAGCAGCTCATTATAAATAGCTCCATGTCTCTCTGCCTCTCAATATGAACTGGCCACTGGCCTTGTGCTGCATGTGTGGTAGACATATTCATAGAGTAACTGGCAAATAATAATAATAATAATAATTGAAGCTCATTTACTGCATTTCTTTACAAGAAAAACATTTTTTAAGTTCTGTTTGGAGAACAGCAAAAACAAGCCGGAAAGACCCCAGCCATTATCACCTTGGCCGCTGTAGGTTCATTCACTTCAGTCGATCTACAAACACATGGCCTATTAACTATACAATTGTAATGTTATACCTCTGAAAGGGGGGAGTTATGAGAAAGATTCACACTGACACATATGACATTTGTAGAACTGGATTGTTTGCATTTTGATTGCAGATGTTCATATTATGTTCGTATTAAAACATATCATATTTTTTAAAAGTTCCTAACTTGTTTGATAAGATTAGTACAGATTTTCTCACGTGAATGGGGCCCCGACCACAAATTTGGTAACCACTGTACTAATCTCTCTCTCTGCTTGCTTCCTCTCTGTCTTGTCTCCTCTGCTTCCGCCTGCATGCATTGCAGCTTCGAACACACCGACTGTGTCATTGCGTTTTGGTACACCAGAAGTACATTCATTTCCAATGGAACGCTGCGTTTGCCTTGCAGCATTGCGTTGCAGAGCAGTTGCAGTGCGTTCTGTGTGGTGCATACGTTGGATTTATCGAACGAATGCGTCAAACTGTATGCGTAAACGGGTTGACAGAAATGGTAGCAGAAGGTGAATCTTGAACTTTTGTTCACATATCTAGATGATGTTGCATATTATTTTGCGCAATGACACAGTCGGTGTGTTCAAAGTCTGCAACGCAATGCTGCAAGGCAAAACGCTGTCTGTCTCAGTACCCACTGGGCACACACTGGTTGAATCAATGTTATTTCCATGTCATTTCAATAAATTACGTTGAACCAACGTTGAATTGGGTATAGCCTACTCTCTGTAAAGCAAAGTTATTATGAGAACATAGTAGCGTATTTTTTGCTAGTGCTGAGGTAGTCTCCGTTAGCTTCTTACTTCATCCTTCTGGCTGGCTAAGTAATACTAGCCAGAGCCGTTCAACGTTACAGCAGTAGAAGTCGCTGCCGGCAGCTAGCCACCTGACTGGCTGACATGGGCTATCTATAAACGACTATTTGCCAGTTGTCCACTCACTCTCCGAGAGTCGGTTTTTGTTGGTTTGGGGGATGTCTGTAGATATTGGAGGAGTCGCGCGACAGTTTTAAAATTCATTTTGTCCGGCATCTCGCAAACACACTGTCAGAAGCGTCTTTAGTTGCGTACTTGAGCCGACTGCGAGTTGGGGTAGTTCGTTTCACGTCTCAGGCCCGCGGAGTGAGCCGTTTGATAGAGGGGTGAATGTGCTGCTAAAATGGCAAATCTGGGGGACGCAGGCTAACATAAAATAACAAACCGCTGTTCATGATTCCACTCATTCGCAAAGAGGCAGGCGCGATTAGAACTCAGATCAAGAATATACGTTTTGTGATTAACACTGGGAGCAATATTTCAATGTTTTTTTAAACCCTTATTTTACTACGTAAGTTGACGGAGAACACATTCTCATTTACAGCAACGACCTGGGGAATAGTTACATGGGGATGAATGAGCCAATTGGTAGCTGGGGATAATTAGGGGGCCATGATAGCCAGATTGGGAATTTAGCCAGGACACCAGGGTTAACACCCTTACGATAAGTGCCATGGGATCTTTAGTGACCATAGAGAGTCAGGACACCTGTTTAACGTCCCATCTGAAAGACAGCACCCTACACAGGGCAATGTCCCCAATCACTGCCCTGGGATATTTATTTTAGACCAGAGGAAAGAATGCCACTTACTGGCCCTCCCACACCACTTCCAGCAGCATCAAGGACTGACCAGGACCAACCCTGCTTAGCTTCAGAAGCAAGCCAGAAGTGGGATGCAGGGTGGTAAGCAGCTGGCTAAATGTTGACCAGTTCTAAATTGTGTATGTATACAGTACCAGTCAAAAGTTTAGACACACCTACTCATTCAAGGGTCTTTCTTTATTTGTACTATTTTCTACATTGTAGAATAATAGTGAAGACATCAAAAATATGGAATCGTGTAGTAACCAAAAAAGGGTTAAATAAATCAAAATATATTTTATATTTGAGATTCTTCAAAGTAGCCACCATTTGCCTTGATGACAGCTTTGTACACTCTTGGCATTCTCTCATCCAGCTTCATGAGAAATGCTTTTCCAACAGTCTTGAAGGAGTTCCCACATATGCTGAGCACTTGTTGGCTGCTTTTTTTGGGTTGAGGTTGGGTGATTGCGGAGGCCAGGTCATCTGATGCAGCACTCCATCACTCTCCTTCTTGGTAAAATAGCCCTTACACAGCCTGTAGGTGTGTTTTGGGTCATTGTCCTGTTGAAAAACAAATGATAGTCCCACTAAGCGCAAACCAGATGGGATGGCGTATCGCTGCAGAATGCTGTGGTAGCCATGCTGGTTAAGTGTGCTTTGAATTCTAAATAAATGACTTACAGTGTCACCAACAAAGCATCCACACACCATCACACCACCTCCTCCATGCTTCACCGTGGTAACCACACATGCAGAGATCATCCGTTCACCTACTCTGTCTCACAAAGACACGGCGGTTGGAACCAAAAATCTCACATTTCGACTCATCAGACCAAAGGACAGATTTCCACCAGTCTAATGTCCATTGCTTGTGCTTCTTGGCCCAAGCAAGTCTCTTCTTATTATTGGTGTCCTTTAGTAGTGGTTTCTTTGCAGCAATTCGACCATGAAGGCCTGATTCACGCAGTCTCCTCTGAACAGTTGATGTTGAGACGTGTCTATTACTTGAACTCTGTGAAGCATTTATTTGGGCTGCAATCTGAGGTGCAGTTAACTCTAATGAACTTATCCTCTGCAGCAGAGGTAACTCTGGGTCTTCCTTTCCTGTGGTGGTCCTCATGAGAGCTAGTTTCATCATAGTGCTTGATGGTTTTTGCGACTGCATTGAAGAAACTTTCAAAGTTTCTGGATTGACTGACCTTCATGTCTTCAAGTAATGATGGACTGTTGTTTCTCTTTGCTTATTTGAGCTGTTCTTGCCATAATATGGACTTGGTCTTTTACCAAAAAGGGCTATCTTCTGTATACCACCTCTACCTTGTCACAACACAACTGATTGGCTCAAACGCATTAAGAAGGAAATAAATTCCACAAATTAACTTTTAATAAGGCACACCTGTTAATTGAAATGCATTCCAGGTGACTACCTAATGAAGCTCGTTGAGAGAATGCCAAGAGTGTGCAAATCTGTCATCAAGGCAAAGGGTGGCTACTTTGAAGAATCTCAAATATAAAATATATTTTGATTTGTTTAACACTTTTGGTTACTACATGATTCCATATGTGTTATTTCATAGTTGTGATGTCTTCACTATTATTCTACAATGTAGAAAATAGTAAAAATAAAGAAAAACCCTTGAATGAGTAGGTGTGTCCAAAGTTTTGACTGGTACTGTATAGTTACTTGTTTTCTAATTAAAAAACATTACAGAGGTCCGGACCTCGGTGTCCTCATATATACTTATGGCCATGTTCTTGGACTAATACAAACCTCCGTCAGTGGTTTGTCACAAACCTGTCACAAACTTCCATCAAATGAGGCAGATGTGGAAAGCTCCAAGAATGCAGGTGTTTCTGAGACAGACACTTTGAAAGTTTCAACTGAAATGCATGAGAGGTCTGTTGATATAATCTTGTCTTACAACCTCCGTCAAATGAACACAGCACAAGTATTGGTCTGCTACCAGTCACCAGTTTATTGACCCAATGCTTTTCCACAGGTAGGGAGAATGCATGTGAGAAGACCTCCTACATGTTCCTGCGTAAGGAGCTTGCGGTGCGGGGGGCCAACACCATGAAGGAAATCAACCTGTTACCCCGCGATCTGCGTATCCAGCCGTCTATCAAACTGGTGCACAGCTGGTGAGAACCTCTGTCTGTCCCTCTGTTCTGATTCAGGGGTGACTGTAAGCACAGTATTCTGGGATGCGTGGTGACATCCGTCTGTGTGTATGCCAGGGTATGACAGTGTGCTGTGGTCTTTGTGTTTCAGGTACATACAGAGCTTTGAAGAGCTGCTGGACTATGAACAAAGGGGTCCAGAGGACAGCCGCACCTTAAACGAGTGAGTTGACATGTACACAGTCGCACCATTTACCAACCACATCTTCAGACAGCACTGAGACTTCAGACAGCACTGAGACTTCTGAGAGTCCTCACACCATATTTCTCTGTAACAGCTTTCTAGACACCCTGGTCAAAATCCGTAACAGGCACAATGAAGTGGTCCCCACCATGGCCCAGGGTGTCATAGAGTACAAGCAGAAGTTTGGCTTTGACCCTTTTATCAGCAGCAACGTTCAGTACTTCCTGGATCGCTTTTACACCAACAGGATATCCTTCCGCATGCTCATCAACCAGCACAGTAAGTGACATCACCAGCCAATACACATATTTATATAATGTATGTGTGTCAGATGTTGTCTAAAAATAGTACATGTGTATGATTTGGATCTTATAGTGGATATTGATGACGATCTTGATCAGGTGAGACTTTGTTTCAGCACTCCTTTTTGGTGATGACAGAACCACCTCCCATCCCAAGAACATAGGAAGTATTGATCCTACCTGCAATGTCAATGAGGTGGTGAAAGGTGAGCAGAATTCCACTGATCCTAATGCTTAACAAATAGCAACTTTGAGTCAGACTGCATCAGGGAAACATCAACTTATTCAAGCTGTATTCAATAAAGACTACAGTGCATCCGGAAAGTATTCAGACCCCTTTACATTTTCCACATTTTGTTACGTTACAGCCTTATTCTAAAATGGATTTTTTTTTTTAAATCCTCATCAATCTACGCACAATACCCCATGATGACAAAGCGAAAAAAACAGGTTTATTAAAAATAAAAAACAGAAATACCTTATTTATGTAAGTATTCAGACCCTTTGCTATGAGACTGGACTCCACCTGTGGTAAATACAATTGATTGGACATGATTTGGAAAGGCACACACCTGTCTATATAAGGTCTCTCAGTTGACAGTGCATGTCAGAGCAAAAACCAAGCCATGAGGTCGAAGGAATTGTCTGTAGAGCTCCGAGACAGGATTGTGTTGAGGCACAGATCTGTGGAAGGGTACCAACACATTTCTGTAGCATTGAAGGTCCCCAAGAACACAGTGGCCTCCATCATTCTTAAATGGAAGAAGTTTGGAACCACTAAGATTCTTCATAGAGCTGGCCGCCCGGCCAAACTGAGCAATCGGGGTAGAAGGGCCTTGGTCAAGGAGGGGACCAAGAACTCGATGGTCACTCTGACAGAGCTCCAGAGTTCCTCTGTGGAGATGGGAGAACCTTCCAGAAGAACAACCATCTCTGCAGCACTCCACCAATCAGGCCTTTATGGTAGAGTGGCCAGACGGAAGCCACTCCTCAGTAAAAGGCACATGACAGCCCACTTGGAGTTTGCCAAAAGGCACCTAAAGGACTCTCAGACCATGAGAAACAAGATTCTCTGGTCTGATGCATGGTGGTGCCAACATCATGCTGTGGGGATGTTATTCAGCGGCAGGGACTGGGAGACTAGTCAGGATCGAGAGAAAGATGAATGGAGCAAAGTACAGAGAGATCCTTGATGAAAACCTGCTCCAGAGCGCTCAGGACCTCAGACTGGGGCGAAGGTTCACCTTCCAACAGGACAATTTCCCTAAGCACGCAGCCAAGACAACGCATGAGTAGCTGTGGGACAAGTCTCTAAATGTCCTTGAGTGGCCCAGCCAGAGCCCGGACTTGAACCGGATCGAACATCTCTGGAGAGACCTGAAAATAGCTGTGCAGCAACACTCCCCATCAAACCTTACAGAGCTTGAGTGGATCTGCAGAGAAGAATGGGAGCAACTCCCCAAATACAGGTGTGCCAAGCTTGTAGCGTCATACCCAAGAAGACTCGAGACTGTAATCGCTGCCAAAGGTGATTCAACAAAGTACTGAGTAAAGGGTCTGAATACTTATGTAAATGTTATATTTCCATTTTTTATTTTTTATAAATTGGAAGAAATATCAAAAAACCTGCTTTTGCTTTGTCATTATGGGGTATTGTGTGTGGATTGATGAGAGGGGGGAAACAATTAAATCAATTTTAGAATAAGGCTGTAATGTAACAAAATGTGGAAAAAGTCAAGAGGTCTGAATACTTTCCGAATGAAGAGTTTATTTCCACGCTATATCCACAAATGTTTCACATTTGTGTTTTTTCATCAGAAATTATTGCTTTTGGGTGGAACTCCAAACATTTTTCAATAAAGGACAAATAGACGTCACCTCAGTTCACCTTTTTATTTTCGTCCGGGCAAGCTAACGCATTCTGGCAGTTATGCCTTCATCAGAACATCAAGAGATGTGCCAAAGCCATTGTTTTCTATGCAGGTGCCTAGGTGATAATTACAATTGCCCACATCTGTGTGGTGGTGGTGCATAGCGATACTCAAAACATTAGTCAACCAACAATTGTTACAATATCCTGTATATACAAATACACAGATCAGCAGAATAAACTCGACAAATAGCTTTTAGATATCATGATGACATTTAGGAAATTTGAGGTATTTTAGCGCAATTAATTACTTCCTAGTACACAATAAAGCTTTGGGGTATGAAAAATAGACATCCTAATAGAAAGATTGTGATTGAATGTTGGAAAATATAGCCTACAAATGACAGCACAGCAATATAGTCTACAAGAATAGTCGGAATGAGAAATCATTGTTTAGACCAAGAGGATGCATGGTGTTTAGTCTATCAATCCAAAACATCTCGTTGTGAGAGCATTTTAGGGACCTTGCCACCTCTGATGGATGTGACCTGTTGCAGGCTCACAAAGCGCAAAGAAGACGGTGGGCCATGTTTGGCTTCTAAGTAGTGTTTTACCATAACATATTCGATATTGCCGGTGCAGATCCCTGTTTTGTGTTCAGATATTCTTATTTTTAAATATCTTTCTGTTTGGCCGACATAGGCTTTACCACACGGTCACTTAAACATATACACAATGTTGGTAGAGTTACGATTGATGAACTGTCTCTGGTAGAACTTTCGGCCAGTTAAGAGGGTGTGTGAAGTATTTACTGTTTACCGTGTTGTTACATTGAGCACATCTTCCACACTTATAGTTCCCTTGTAGCGATAACCAGTTTGAATGGTCAGGCTTTTGGAAACAATGGACCAGTATGATCGTGATCCCTGATCGTGCGTGCCCGTCTGTATGAGAACAGAGAGGGATTTTCCGACAGGCTCTGTTTGTAGAATAAACCAGTGTTTTAGGTTTGCACACCGGTGGGGATATTGGTTTTGAGATGTCACAGATTATTACTATTGAAGTGGAGGACACCTTCATGTGTGTGTAAAATATTACTGTTCTCAGATGTTTTTATTTATAGATTTGAGATATATATGAAAATGTGTTTTTTTGTAAAATGCTATACAGTTGAAGTCGGAGGTTTACATGCACTTAGGTTGGAGACATTAAAACTTGTTTTTCAACCACTCCACAAATGTTGTTAACAAACTATAGTTTTGGCAAGTCGGTTAGGACATCTACTTTGTGCATGACACAAGTTATTTTTCCAACAATTGTTTACAGACAGATTATTTCACTTATAATTCACTGTATCACAATTCCAATGGGTCAGAAGTTTACATACATTAAGTTGACGGTGCCTTTAAACAGCTTGGAAAATTCCAGAAAATTATGTCATGGCTTTAGAAGCTTCTGATAGGCTAATTGACATCATTTGAGTCAATTGGAGGTGTACCTGTGGATGTATTTCAAGGCCTACCTTCAAACGCAGTGCCTCTTTGCTTGACATCATGGGAAAATCCAAAGAAATCAGCCAAGACCTCAGAAAAAAAATTGTAAACCTCCACAAGTCTGGTTCATCCTTGGGAGCAATTTCCAAACGCCTGAAGGTACCACGTTCATCTGTACAAACAATAGTACGCAAGTATAAACACCATGGGACCACGCAGCCATCATACCGCTCAGGAAGGAGACGCGTTCTGTCTCCTAGAGATGAATGTACTTTGGTGCGAAAAGTGCAAATCAATACCAGAACGACAGCAAAGGACCTTGGGAAGATGCTGGAGGAAACAGGTACAAAAGTATCTATATCCACAGAAAAACGAGTCCTATATCGACATAACCTGAAAGGTCGCTCAGCAAAGAAGAAGCCACTGGTCCAAAACCGCCATAAAAAAGCCAGACTACGGTTTGCAACTGCACATGGGGACAAAGATCGTACTTTTTGGAGAAATGTCCTCTGGTCTGGTGAAACAAAAATAGAACTGTTGGGCCATAATGACCATCGTTATGTTTGGAGGAAAAAGGGGGCACTTGCAAGCTGAAAAACACCATCCCAACCGTGAAGCACAGGGGGTGGCAGCATCATGCTGTGGGGGTGCTTTGCTGCAGGAGGGACTGGTACACTTCACAAAATAGATGGCATCATGAAGAAGGAAAATTATGTGGATATATTGAAGCAACATCTCAAGACATTAGTCAGGAAGTTAAAGCTTGGTCGCAAATGGGTCTTCCAAATGGACAATGACCCCAAGCATACTTCCAAAGTTGTGGCAAAATGGCTTAAGGACAACAAAGTCAAGGTATTGGAGTGGCCATCACAAAGCCCTGACCTCAATCCTATTGAAAATTTGTGGGCAGAACTGAAAAAGCGTGTGCAAGCAAGGAGGCCTACAAACCTGATTCAGTTACACCAGCTCTGTCAGGAGGAATGGGCCAACATTCACCCAACTTATTGTGGGAAGCTTATGGAAGGCTACCCGAAACGTTTGACCCAAGTTAAACAATTTAAAGGCAATGCTACCAAATACGAATTCAGTGTACGTAAACTTTTGACCCACTGGGAATATGATGAAAGAAATAAAAGCTTAAATAAATAATTCTCTCTACTATTATTCTGACATTTCACATTCTTAAAATAAAGTGGTGATCCTAATTGACCTAAGACAGGGAATATTTACTAGGATTAAATGTCAGGAATTGTGAAAAACCTGAGTTTAAATGTATTTGGCTAAGGTGTATGTAAACTTCCGACTTCAACTGTATATCCATTGTTTAGCTAGAATGGAATGTTCATATCCTGTATATTTTACTGTGATACAGTGGGGGAAAAAAAGTATTTAGTCAGCCACCAATTGTGCATGTTCTCCCACTTAAAAAGATGAGAGAGGCCTGTAATTTTCATCATAGGTACACGCCAACTATGACAGACAAAATGAGGAAAAATTTTTCAGAAAATCAAATTGTAGGATTTTTTATGAATTTATTTGCAAATTATGGTGGAAAATAAGTATTTGGTCAATAACAAAAGTTTCTCAATACTTTGTTATATACCCTTTGTTGGCAATGACACAGGTCAAACGTTTTCTGTAAGTCTTCACAAGGTTTTCACACACTGTTGCTGGTATTTTGGCCCACTCCTCCATGCAGATCTCCTCTAGAGCAGTGATGTTTTGGGGCTGTCGCTGGGCAACACGGACTTTCAACTCCCTCCAAAGATTTTCTATGGGGTTGAAATCTGGAGACTGGCTAGGCTACACCAGGACCTTGAAATGCTTCTTACGAAGCCACTCCTTCGTTGCCCGGGCGGTGTGTTTGGGATCATTGTCATGCTGAAAGACCCAGCCACGTTTCATCTTCAATGCCCTTGCTGATGGAAGGAGGTTTTCACTCAAAATCTCACGATACATGGCCCTATTCATTCTTTCCTTTACACAGATCAGTCGTCCTGGTCCCTTTGCAGAAAAAACAGCTCCAAAGCATGATGTTTCCACCCCCATGCTTCACAGTAGGTATGGTGTTCTTTGGATGCAACTCAGCATTCTTTGTCCTCCAAACACGACGAGTTGAGTTTTTACCAAAAAGTTCTATTTTGGTTTCATCTGACCATATGACATTCTCCCAATCCTCTTCTGGATCATCCAAATGCACTCTAGCAAACTTCAGACGGGCCTGGACATGTACTGGCTTAAGCAGGGGGACACGTCTCGCACTGCAGGATTTGAGTCCCTGGCGGCGTAGTGTGTTACTGATGGTAGGCTTTGTTACTTTGGTCCCAGCTCTCTGCAGGTCATTCACTAGGTCCCCCCGTGTGGTTCTGGGATTTTTGCTCACCGTTCTTGTGATCATTTTGACCCCACGGGGTGAGATCTTGCGTGGAGCCCCAGATCAAGGGAGATTATCAGTGGTCTTGTATGTCTTCCATTTCCTAATAATTGCTCCCACAGTTGATTTCTTCAAACCAAGCTGCTTACCTATTGCAGATTCAGTCTTCCCAGCCTGGTGCAGGTCTACAATTTTGTTTCTGGTGTCCTTTGACAGCTCTTTAGTCTTGGCCATAGTGGAGTTTGGAGTGTGACTGTTTGAGGTTGTGGACAGGTGTCTTTTATACTGATAACAAGTTCAAACAGGTGCCATTAATACAGGTAACGAGTGGAGGACAGAGGAGCCTCTTAAAGAAGAAGTTACAGGTCTGTGAGAGCCAGAATCTTGCTTGTTTGTAGGTGACCAAATACTTATTTTCCACCATAATATGCAAATAAATTCATAAAAAATCCTACAATGGTTTTTTTTTTTTCTGGATTTTTTTTCCTCATTTTGTCTCTCATAGTTGACGTGTACCTATGATGAAAATTACAGGCCTCTCTCATCTTTTTAAGTGGGAGAACATGCACAATTGGTAGCTGACTAAATACTTTTTTTCCCCACTGTATGTGGTTGTCTCTTAAGATGAATGCTTTAACTGTAAGTCGCTCTGCATAAGAACATCTGCTAAATGACAAAAATGTCAAATGTAAATGTTTTACATACAGATCTCATATTACTGTATTGAATTATTATTATTATTATATATTTTTTAGATACCGATATCACAAATGTATAATTTGTACATTTCTTTATATATATTTATTTTGTTATTTGTCACATTTGACTGTGTAAAACCTAGCAGTACTACTTTTTTCTCTGAGAGCGAGGCGGATATTTGGTCAAAGTTGAACACAATGCCACATACTATTAATCCTCTGTGTTTCTGTGCTGCTGTCTTTTGCAGATGCCTATGAGACCGCTAAGATGCTCTGTGAGGAGTACTACATGATTGCCCCTGAGCTGAAGATAGAAGAGTACAATTGTACGTTTAATTGTAATTAAATACACTGAGCCACCTGTGTATGCATTATAAAAGATGAACAGATATGTATGCATTTATAAGCTGTTGTACGGAGCCATTAGCTTATATGAAGGCTTGTAGCATGTCTAGAATGCAATATTGGTAGGATAGAAGGCACTGGTGCTTAGATTGTAAACGTCTGAGTATGCACTAAGATCTTGGTTAGGATGTGGCAAGTTTATTGTCTGTAATGGAAAAAGTTATCTGGAATGGAAAGTTGGCCTCTTCTCAGAGTTTCCCATTGGCTCCTGTCCGAACCTGCAAATGTAAGCAGAGGAGATGCAGCAGAGCCAATTAATATCTATTTTGTGTGATATTACATGAAACATGACTACTGTAATGATATGTGAATAGAGAACGATTGCTAAATATTGATTGCCTTTATTTTACCATTAACATACTGTACATGTCATTTTTCTCAGCCAAGGCCCCTTCGAAGACTATCCAGGTGGATTATGTTCCATCTCACCTGTTCCATATGCTGTTTGAGCTCTTCAAGGTGACTGGCATTTATGTTGTACTGAAAGAAAGCTTCTCTAGGCTATCAATTAACTGGTCCTAATTTGTAATGTATTTGTGAAGTCCTTCATCATTGGCTGTATCATGTTCTATTTATATGTTCCAACTGAGTTATGTGTATTCATTAATGTTTCTTGAATGACTGTGTAGAATTCGATGCGGGCCACGGTGGAGCACCATGAGAACAGTACTGCTGGCACTCCCCCCAGTGAAGGCCATGGTGACGCTGGGAAAGGAAGACCTCTCTATCAAGGTCTGTTACTGGCACGGACACTGCTCTGGTGTTTTTAGATGACCTCATCATGGCCTATATAAAGGTTCTCAGTCACCCCTGTCCTCTCCCCTCAGATCATTGACAGAGGAGGGGGCGTGCCCCTCAGGAAGATTGACAAGCTCTTTAGCTACATGTACTCCACCGCGCCCACCCCGAGCCTGGAACCAGGAAATGGAACTCAGGCTGCACCACTGGTAACACATCACAACGGGTGTATAGAGAAATGTTTTGTTTACATGCAAGCGTCATGTTCAAGGGATGCACGCACATCCCGGCACCAAAAAGCTCTGTAGCAGAATAGCTAACACTGATGTTGGGACCTTGACAAACTTAAGCGTGAGTGAGTGATGACCATGAAAACACACCAGACTGATGGCTATAGCTATCTATGTTCAACAAATATATTATTCTTCTGGCTTTATCTAACTCTATTTGTGATATTTTACCTTGCTTTGCTGGCTTACTAGCTTCTTGGTAATCAATCCTCTGATGACAGCAATGTTATAGACGATAACCATCTGATTACGTGTTTGTTAACAAGCACAAGCTGCATTTGAAGTTGCATGTTATCGTATCTTTGTAGTATGAACCACTCTTTCTTCTCCGTCAGGCTGGCTTTGGATATGGTCTCCCCATTTCTAGACTTTATGCACGCTACTTCCAAGGAGACCTGAACCTTTACTCCATGGAGGGGGTGGGTACAGACACTGTCATCTATCTGAAGGTGCGTTAGGGACTTGCGTTTAGTTAAGTAACATGTTGTCATTATGATCTGGCTGTGGTTTCATATTTGTTTCTCTCTGACCTCCAGGCTCTGTCCAGCGAGTCCTTTGAGCGTCTCCCCGTCTTCAACAAGTCAGCGTGGAGACACTACCAGACTGGCCCTGAGGCAGATGACTGGAGCAATCCTAGCAGCGACCCACGTGATGCAGCCAAGTACAAGGTCAAATAACTCTTTTGAGTCTGGCCCCCTGGCAACGCTGCATGCCATAGGTCTTGTCCAGTCACATGGCAAACAGATTAAGTTACCGTCCACTCCTACAGTTAAGCACAGAACTAAAGCACAGCACTGACTGAAATATTGTCTCAACAGGTAACATATTTATTTCCAGTGAATATCACATCAGGTATGTAAATCCAAAACACAGTTTTAACCCAGACCATCTTTATTTCCTTGTTTGCTGGTATGTTATGATTGACCACGGTTTCCATGGTAGCAGATTGCGATTGGTGACCTCCTCCGTCAGATAGCATGACTGTTATTAGATCTAATTAGTGTCACGTGAGAGTGACACCAACTGTCGGGAAATAATGTACTTTTTCCCTTAATGCAAATAATGACCTAGCATAACAGTATACTGTGTGAAACAAGAATATTAGTTTATCATTTTATGGCAGTGTGCAATGGTTTTCAATAGATAAACTCAGTCGGCATTTTCCCAGCTCAGAAAAAAGGGATTAGGTTAGTATGTATGTGTTTGTGACATGTGACATGAAATGTTACTCAGGATGGTATTTAAATTCATGATAATGCAATATGGTACTATAAGTTTATAAGAGATTATTATCACTTTGGAAGCTTAAGAAATACATGGAGCAATATCTAAACAAGTTGAGACATATCTTACTTTAGATTGCTTTAAAAAAAAATTTTTTTTACAAAAAGGCCTCAAATGAAATTGATATTTTAGTGGGTCAATAGTTATTATTGCATGACAAAATACTCTCAGAAATGATTGTTTTGTATTTCATATTTCATAGAAACAACGTATTATTTAAAAAAGAAAATGTCCAAAATGTTTTTTTGTACTGCATATCATAGACAACTGAACGCACATTTGAGCATTTCACTAAGTATTTGTAAAGAAAAATAAAGCCTGGTTGATGCAGTGAAATAGTGGTATTATTTGTGTGGTACAGGAATCAGAAGTGAGAATGGAGTGAGTCAACTAATTGAGATACCACAGTGCATTCAGTTACCTTAACAACATACACAATCAAATAGCACAAATATGGCAGACTGTGGGCGGCATCTTGCACTAAGTAACCGTGGACACTGTGTGTTTGTGTTTTGGGAGTGACAGTGCCGTCTCTACTCCTCGTCGTCATCCCCCTCACTCGAGCTGCTGAGGGAGGTTAAGGGACGAGCAGAGGCACCCTTGAGAGAGGAAGGGGAGGTGGGTGAGGACGGAGGGGAACGGGGAGAACGGGATGTGGGAGAGGAGGGGGGCGATGGGGAGCGCCCTCTGGTGGGACTGCTACTGGGGGAACCACGGGGCGAGGCAACGGGCGATGCGTAGGGTGACAGAGCCTGGAGCATGCGCCCACTCTGCTCCTGGATCACATGCTGCTCGGAGAGAGAGAGGGAGCGAGAAAGAGAGAGAGACAGAGAGACAGAGAGAGACGGAGAAAGGGAGCATTGTGTTTTTTTTTATTGTTTGTCCAACTGAGTGTTGCTTTTCCTAAACTACTTGTTAATATTGTGTGGTCACTTGCTTAGAGGAATGAGATCAATACTAACCATCTTCTGCTATTGACCGTAAACGCTTCCTACTATAGTATCTATTGTGGGCTAAATGTAAACTTACCCACGCTCCATCTGGACCAAACAACTCCAGGAAATTCCCAATGAACTCCCGTGACTTCTCCTCCCACTTGTGGATGAGGTCATGGCTCTTCTCCTCCACCTTGAACACAAAGTGCTTGGACTTCTCCTCCACTGTCTTCACCGTCTCCTTCATACGATCCACCTGGTTCTGCAGACGGATTTTCTTCTCCTGCAGAATAAATCAAATCAAATTGTATTGGTCACATGCGCCGAATACAACAGGTGTAGACTTTACTGTGAAATGCTTAATTAAGAGCCCATTCCCAACAGTGCAGAGTTAAAAAGTAAGACAAATATTTGCTAAATAAAAAAGGAAATAGTAACACAATAAAATAACAATAATGAGGCTATATACAAAGAGTACCAGTACAGAGTCAATGAGCAGGGGTACCAGGTAGTTGAGGTAATTGAGGTAATACTGTATGTACATGTGGCTAAGGGTAAACGTGACTAGGCAATCAGGATATATAATAAACAGAGTAGCAGCAGCGTTTGTGAAGTGTGAAAGTATGTATATGTGTGAGTGTGTGGCTTCAATATGCATGAATGTGTGTGTGTGTGTTGGAGTGTCAGTTTAGTATGTGTGAGTGTGTGGCTAGAGTCTAGTGAGTGTGCATAGAGTCAGTGCAAATAATAAAGATTACAAATAAAATTCTAAAGTCAATGTAAATAGCCTGGGTGGCCTTTTGATGAACTATTCAGCAGTCTTATGGCTTGGGGGTTGAAGCTGTTCAGGAACCTTTGGTCCCAGACTTGGCGCTCCGGTACCGCTTGCCGTGCGGGAGCAGAGAGAACAGTCTATGACAAGTCATGTGGTTGGCAATAAGGCATCAACTAAAGGTGGTCTTGTGTTTATCAACCACAACCACCAATACTGAAACACCCATTTCACTTCCTCAAAGACAAACTATTGTAACATATGGTTATTCCAACTTAATTAATTGTTCTAAGTTAATTAGGTGATGTCATTCATACCCTGATGAAGCTAACGTTGAGGTCACTGGCTGTGTAGCCTCTCTGCAGGTTGCGTCGGACATAGAGGTCGTAGTCTCTCACTATCCTGGTGATGAGGTCGGATGTAGAGATGCCGTCTGTCCTCTGTGTGGCCACAAACATCCCTGAGACCCAACAGAGAGAACACAGCTCAGCCAAGATGACACAGGGAAGGGAATAGATAGTAGGTAGCTCAGCAAACACACACAGACACAATCTCAAATGGTTCATTTCTGTTCCAGAGCAGATCTGTTTACCTGCTTCCTTGATGTGTTTGTAGACGTCCTCTGATCCTGCAGAGGTGTATGGGATATCGTCATGGGCCACAAAGTCAATCTGGTGAAATCCCAGAATAGCACTAAAATGATTTTATGTGGAAAAAAGGGACATGGGCTATGTACATCTGTATCGGATTTTAGGACTGATCAAATCAAATGCCTTTTACATCAGCAGAAGCCCAGCCTAAAACCCCAAACAGCAAGCAGTGCAGATGGTTTGTAATACTGACTGGTGTACTGTATATGGCCCTTCTCCAGAAGTGCTGACCTTATGTTTCTTCAAGAACTCAGGGCTGAGGGTCCAGGGAGCGTCCCGTACCACCTCATCCACATAGCGACAGTGTATCAGGGCTTCGTAGCGCTCAGACTCTGTCATCACCGTGTAGCCCTTATACTTGTGTGTGAGTTCATCACTGCAGACTGCAAGGACAGACACACAATGATATACTCTCTGTGTGTGGTTTGTGTACATGCTTGTTTGTACAGTCTGTCCTTGGGTGTTTTGAAAGGCACTTGAAATTCAAAAGGTGTTATTTACCTCCCACTATGAGATGTGTGTTGGGGAACAGGTTCTTGGCTTGCATCAGAGCGCGTGCGTGTCCAGAGTGGAAGAGATCAAAGATCCCATCAGCATAGACTCGCACTGGCCGGATTGCTACATGAAAAGAAAAACAATCATTGTATCTATGTCTCGCTGCGTTCTCCTTGTCTCACCTCTCACTTTCACATCCCCCTCTCTCTCGACTGCCCCTTATCTCTTCTCTTCCACTGCCCATCCTTCAATATTCCCAGTGAGGAGTGATAAAACTGGTGGTGAAACTGACCTATGATCAGTCTGACTGGTCTGTGATTGGTCTGACCTGTGGAGACCAGTAATGATGACTGACCTGGCGTGCCTCTCTTGGCCTGGGCGATGGTCATCTTTTCATGAGGAACCTCTGACTCATATCCTGTTTTCTTGGCAAATAATGCTGGCTCCCTCAGAGTCTGAGATGGGACAGAAAGAGTTAACTGACCTCCTGGGAGGGGATATCGGTACATAAATGATTTGGGGATAATAGATACTCTATAAGTAAAGTATTTTAAATGTTTACATTTATGGAAATCATCAGGGCTGTGATAAGCCTTTGGACATGTAAGGGATTTCTGGCTTCATTAGTGGTTATCTCTGCATGTGAGGGATGTAGCTCAGTTGGTAGAGCATGGCGTTTGCAACGCCAGGGTTGTGGGTTCGATCCCACGGGGGGACAGTATGGGAAAAATGAATAAAAAATGCACTCACTAACTGTAAGTCGCTCTGGATAAGAGCGTCTACTAAAATGTAAATGTAGTGGATGTGTACATGGTTGCTAGGAATTATCTGTAGAGTTGTCAATATACATTGAACCCTGAACTGTTTGACATCTGCCGTGACTTAAGAATAGACTTCAATCCCTGTGGAAGAAAAAGTTATAATTGAAGGTAGAGATCAATCTACCATTCAAAGAGCTATACCATAATGTTTTAACATTTACAGTGACAGTATCATAACATTTATTGAGGAATCATTTGTAGCTGCCTATGTTATACAATTTCCTGCCTATGTTATACAATTTCCTGCCAATGTTATACAATTTCCTGCCTATGTTATACAATTTCCTGCCTATGTTATACAATTTACTGCCTATGTTATACAATTTCCTGCCTATGTTATACAATTTCCTGCCAATGTTATACAATTTCCTGCCTATGTTATACAATTTCCTGCCTATGTTATACCATTTCCTGCCTATGTTATACAATTTTCCTGCCTATGTTATACAATACACTGGTGAACTGAGTAAGGTGTAGCCTACCTTTAACACATGCAAGTACACTCCCATACTGTACACAGACACACTAAAGCACACAATAAGATAATATTACACAAGACTAATTTCCAGAGCAACATAATTATTGACTGTTGTTGGCTACACTAGGCTATAGTATGTTTATTTATTAGTAATGATAGGTCAAATATAGACTTGTAGAAAATGTAACATTTGCTGAGTCAGCAATGCTGGCTGCATATAAGGTTTGTCATTGAGCATGAAGTACTGAAAAACAGGCTCGAAATGTGTGTCAGTAGTCTGTCTGACAATAATTAACCTCAGACCTGGCAGAAAGTAGACATGATATGCTCATTTTCTTTATATTAACCGTTTGATAAGCCTCCTATAGGTAGTCTGACTCACCTTGCGGGGTCCCCCCCTGCGTTGCTGTTGGGGCTGCTGTGGTCCACTGTTGGCTCTGGAGCCACGTCTCCTTCCCACCATGCTGGATGTTCTGTTGCCTTGTTTACCTGTCAACTGGCGTCTCGTCCGCTTGCTCGTACTCCAACCCTCTCAGTGCTGCACTCCTGCAATCTATGAGGGAGTTTTAAAGTTTGCATGTTGCTGGCTGGTCTGACCCCGGTGACAAGAAAATGTAATGTGCAAAGTTCAAGCCAAAGAGTAGTCGATACTTTAGGCTGCATATCTATTATCAGCTCTGTAGAGGAAATGGGGTGGATCAGGGGTTCCCCATGTAGGCCTAAACAGACATTTACAATATGACTACCCTTTTATTTTTTGATCTAGGCCTAGCTTATAAATTATATTTAAATGTACTCATGCTGTTGTGAGCTTTCTTAAATGTGTAAAGTTATAAGAAGCCTTATTATTGGCTTGTCTGCTGGAAATTGATGTTCAACTTGGTCTCATGGAATAGTAGGATTTTATTTTTAAAGCGATATTTCCCCGTTTCATGAATAGAAACTGCTCCCAAAAATTAGTTGACTGGGGCAACCTTTGGACCCAAACATAGTAGTGGGACAAGTTGTTCCAGTGGGTCATGAGGCAGCTTAAAGTTGCCTATCTATGGACTCCACTGATTATGCAATGTTTACTGAAAGCTCAATCAATCAAGCAATGTCATTAATGGCCCACATGACACACCTGTGATCGTAAATCCGCTTTATCAAGATTCCCAAAGCACTCCATGGACATTGACACTTTGCCCTTATGCCTGAATCAGGCCATGGACATTTGCACTATAACACAAGACTGTGTTATCCTACTGAGCTATAGTCTAGGCCTTCACTTACAAAAATACCCATGACAAATTTGCAGTTTACAGTGGGGGAAAAAAGTATTTAGTCAGCCACCAATTGTGCAAGTTCTCCCACTTAAAAAGATGAGAGAGGCCTGTAATTTTCATCATAGGTACCGTCCAACTATGACAGACAAAATGAGAGAAACAAAAAACCAGAAAACTCACCGTTGTCGGATTCTTTTTATATGAATTTTATTTTGCAAATTTTATTGGTGAGAAAATAAGGTATTTATTTTTGGGTCAATAAACAAAAGATTTCTTCTCAATACTTGTTAAAATACACTTTGTTGGCAAATGACACAGGTCAACGTTTTTCTGTGTAAGTGCCTTCACAAGGGTTTTTCCACACCACCTGTTTTGCTGGTATTTTTGGCCCATTCCTCCCATGCAATCTCCTCTAGAGCAGTTGATGGTTTTTGGGGCGTGTCGCTGGGCAACACAGACTTTCCAACTACCCCTCCCAAAAGATTTCTGATGGGGTTGAGTTGAGATCTGGAGGACTGGCTAGGGTCCACCTCCAGGACCTTGAAATGGCTTCCTTACGAAAGCCCACTCCTTCGTTGCCCGGGCGGGTGTGTTTGGGGATCATTGATTGTCGGTGTTGAAAGACCCCAGCCACGTTTCATCTTCAATGCCCTTGCTGATGGAAGGAGGTTTTCACTCAAAATCTCACGATACATGGCCCCATTCATTCATTCTTTCCTTTACACGGATCAGTCGTCCTGGTCCCTTTGCAGAAAAACAGCCCCAAAGCATGATGTTTCCACCCCCATGCTTCACAGTAGGTATGGTGTTCTTTGGATGCAACTCAGCATTCTTTGTCCTCCAAACACGACGAATTGAGTTTTTACCAAAAAGTTCTATTTTGGTTTCATCTGACCATATGACATTCTCCCAATCCTCTTCTGGATCATCCAAATGCACTCTAGCAAACTTCAGACGGGCCTGGACATGTACTGGCTTAACCAGCTCTCTGCAGGTCATTCACTAGGTCCCCCCGTGTGGTTCTGGGATTTTTGCTCACCGTTCTTGTGATCATTTTGACCCCATGGGGTGAGATCTTGCGTGGAGCCCCAGATCGAGGGAGATTATCAGTGGTCTTGTATGTCTTCCATTTTCTAATAATTGCTCCCACAGTTGATTTCTTCAAACCAAGCTGCTTACCTATTGCAGATTCAGTCTTCCCAGCCTGGTGCAGGTCTACAATTTTGTTTCTGGTGTCCTTTGACAACTCTTTGGTCTTGGCCATAGTGGAGGTTGGAGTGTGACTGTTTGAGGTTGTGGACAGGTGTCTTTAATACTGATAACATGTTCAAACAGGTGCCATTAATACAGGTAACGAGTGGAGGACAGAGGAGCCTCTTAAAGAATAAGTTACAGGTCTGTGAGAGCCAGAAATCTTGCTTGTTTGTAGGTGACCAAATACTATATTTTCCACCATAATTTGCAAATAAATTCATTAAAAATCCTACAATGTGATTTTCTGGAGAAAAAAATTCTCAATTTGTCTGTCATAGTTGACGTGTACCTATGATGAAAATTACAGGCCTGTCTCATCTTTTTAAGTGGGAGAACTTGCACAATTGGTGGCTGACTAAATACTTTTTTTCCCCACTGTACGTAAATATAAAAATACTGTTTAGCCTAAAAACATGGTTAAAACTATCATTTGGATATCATGGATGGTCAGTTCCTGCATCCATAGTGTAGCCTATGGATTTGAAAGTGGTTGCATTTCTCTAGCCCCATCCCTCAGCTTTTTACCGAAACTGTGGCGTAGAGGACACTTTGCTAATGTTTAAATTAAGGATTGCCGCTTTAAACACCTTTAATAGAGTAATAGTGTTATTATATGGTGTAATCCTCTAGTGAGTGAGTTACCTTCGTGCCATTACAGTTTTTTACAATCACTTTGGCACTAATTTCAGAACCTTGACGTCTTTTTTCAAAACTCTAGACACAAAACGGTCATCACTTGTAACACAGGCTGTCCAATGTTCAAAACATTGCATTGTGCATTCATATCTTTAAAGAAATATTGCACTTGCACAATCATTGGTTCAAAAAACAAATGTATTGTGAAATACCAATGAAACGTTAATTTAGATCACCCACACACACGCAACCGATAGTTTCACTGTGTCATTGTTCGTACAATCATTAAATATTGTTGTACAAAATAGGTGATACATGTTTCATTATGGTACTACATGTAAATACATCCCTGTAAAAGTACTGCAGTAGTAGAGAGAATACTACAGACACAGTGGAATCAATGAACAAAATCTGAAATATATTGATGAAAAACAATACAGTACTGTAAAACATCAAATGCAGTGTAAAAAGCAAAACATAGGAGTGATTACTGTACTTTTACATTTTCATCAACTCTGTCTTGTGGATTTGGCCACAGGTTCTCATCTACAGTGGGGAAAAAAAGTATTTAGTCAGCCACCAATTGTGCAAGTTCTCCCACTTAAAAAGATGAGAGAGGCCTGTAATTTTCATCATAGGTACACGTCAACTATGACAGACAAATTGAGATTTTTTTTTCAAGAAAATCACATTGTAGGATTTTTAATGAATTTATTTGCAAATTATGGTGGAAAATAAGTATTTGGTCACCTACAAACAAGCAAGATTTCTGGCTCTCACAGACCTGTAACTTCTTCTTTAAGAGGCTCCTCTGTTCTCCACTCGTTACCTGTATTAATGGCACCTGTTTGAACTTGTTATCAGTATAAAAGACACCTGTCCACAACATCAAACAGTCACACTCCAAACTCCACTATGGCCAAGACCAAAGAGCTGTCAAAGGACACCAGAAACAAAATCGTAGACCTGCACCAGGCTGGGAAGACTGAATCTGCAATAGGTAAGCAGCTTGGTTTGAAGAAATCAACTGTGGGAGCAATTATTAGAAAATGGAAGACATACAAGACCACTGATAATCTCCCTCGATCTGGGGCTCCACGCAAGATCTCACCCCGTGGGGTTAAAATGATCACAAGAACGGTGAGCAAAAATGCCAGAACCACACGGGGGGACCTAGTGAATGACCTGCAGAGAGCTGGGACCAAAGTAACAAAGCCTACCATCAGTAACACACTACGCCGCCAGGGACTCAAATCCTGCAGTGCCAGATGTGTCCCCCTGCTTAAGCCAGTACATGTCCAGGCCCGTCTGAAGTTTGCTAGAGTGCATTTGGATGATCCAGAAGAGGATTGGGAGAATGTCATATGGTCAGATGAAACCAAAATATAACTTTTTGGTAAAAACTCAACTCGTCGTGTTTGGAGGACAAAGAATGCTGAGTTGCATCCAAAGAACACCATACCTACTGTGAAGCATGGGGGTGGAAACATCATGCTTTGGGGCTGTTTTTCTGCAAAGGGACCAGAACGACTGATCCGTGTAAAGGAAAGAATGAATGGGGCCATGTATCGTGAGATTTTGAGTGAAAACCTCCTTCCATCAGCAAGGGCATTGAAGATGAAACGTGGCTGGGTCTTTCAGCACGACAATGATCCCAAACACACCGCCCGGGCAACGAAGGAGTGGCTTCGTAAGAAGCATTTCAAGGTCCTGGAGTGGCCTAGCCAGTCTCCAGATCTCAACCCCATAGAAAATCTTTGGAGGGAGTTGAAAGTCTGTGTTGCCCAGCGACAGCCCCAAAACATCACTGCTCTAGAGGAGATCTGCATGGAGGAATGGGCCAAAATACCAGCAACAGTGTGTGAAAACCTTGTGAAGACTTACAGAAAACGTTTGACCTGTGTCATTGCCAACAAAGGGTATATAACAAAGTATTGAGAAACTTTTGTTATTGACCAAATACTTATTTTCCACCATAATTTGCAAATAAATTCATTAAAAATCCTACAATGTGATTTTCTGGAATTTTTTTTCTCATTTTGTCTGTCATAGTTGACGTGTACCTATGATGAAAATTACAGGCCTCTCTCATCTTTTTAAGTGGGAGAACATGCACAATTGGTGGCTGACTAAATACTTTTTTCCCCCACTGTATATCACAATGGATGTTTTCATTAGCCAAACATCTTGGAAAAAACCTTCGGGCATGGCGAATCCAGACCTGACACTGGTCTGCCGTGATGTCATTGCATGCGTCATCCATAGCCTTGAGAAGAGTGACTTGTTCATGAGGGCGCCTATCATAAAC